AATCTGTGGACCGAAGTAAGTACACCTGCGAACTGCTCAAGCGCGGGAAATAATTTTAAGGCCATACCCTACCCGTGAAGCGTCTTACAGCATGCACTTCGTCCAGGCGACAGTTCAGGCGCTAAGGTGCTTATGGAAAATAGCTATGGTATCATTGATAAAGACATTTGATGCTGCTCGTGACATCTCTGGGTAAATAACCACCGTTTATGCAAAAACTATAATAGTTTAGTGGTTTTATATGTCACCATTAGGATGAGAACAGGAGCGAGTGCTGCATTCACCGAGAGCTTGTGAATTGAGCCATATCGTGTTACGCTTGTATTCCCGCGGTTCGAATTCCCCACGTAAATCATTCACTGTCAACCCTGATCAACTGCTGTCACCTCCTTTCAGCCATAATCAGTGCAGTTCTTACCTTAACCCATCCCTCCCCTCCCAACTAGATCATCCCTGTAGACCAGCTCCTAGTGTGTCTGTGGCGCATCCCAATAAATTTGAGGACTTTCCTTCTAATGCCCCTTAGCGGATCTTATCAGTTGCGGTCACCCAGCAGTAGTGTTCCCATCTTGCTCCCTTATCACCCCTTGGGACACTCAAATACTTTTCATTGTTACTGCGACGGACGCTATGGATTCATAACAGACGGACATACACATTACACGCATATACCTATTCTCTAGGGTATAAGGCTCATTTATTTGCATGGTCGCGAGAACGCACGCGAGAAGTTTTCAGACGGGGCAGCACTTTTTTGCATACTCTGACCCTCTGAAAGCATTTCAATCTTTTTATTCAAAATACATCTTTCACATAGACAAGAATACGCAAATAATACTTTTCGAGGCGATGGGCTTCCTACATGGGTTCCTTGTGGGAACTCTATACCCCAGAAAATAGGGTATATTCGCAAGCAGATTATAAGTGGTGTTTCAGTGGTTGAGTTCGACGTCGTAAAGCAGTTCAGGATTTCGGAAATTATTTTTCAATGCAATATCATGTAAGTACGTGCTACTGGTTAGGCCGCAATTATTATTGGTGACTCGCGCAGTTCGGTTTGGTACTCGCGCGGACGCGATAAACCGATTCGCCCTTGTTCACACATCGCTATTTGCAACAGTCAAAGGTGGATCGCGCTCCTTTGTCGTCGTGAAGTATGAACTACTACTTCTAGCTGTTGATTAACACTACGTTGCTTTAGCAGACATCCATATTGTATTTCAGGAATCGTCGAGGTGACATTTACCGCTGTACATCTGAATGGCCTACTTCCGTAGAAGCCTTAGAGCTCAACAAAGTGAGCGGAAAGATGTTGATTGTCCAGCCAGGTGACGCTGTGTTGGCTGTACGAAAGGACCCCTGCAACATGTGGTACGCTCATGCAGCTTTCTATATAATGCTTTCCGTCTTTCACGTATTAGTTACGTCCATATAGTATGAGTTGCGCTAACAAGGGAATGGTTTGAACTTCCCATGGAACTTTGAATGGAGACCTAGGTACATCGATAGAGCCTCGAATGCTGATTACGAATATGCAGATTAAAAGTGCTACGGGGACCTCCCAGACGAGATCTGGGTGGTCAAAGTTTGAGTCTGGCTCGTAAGCGCTGCTGATCGATGCCTCGGCAGTGCCACCGTGGCCTCGTGGGTGGTCTCTCGCTTTTCAAGTCGAACGCATGCGGGTTTGCATCCGGTTGGCGCGAAATTTTTTGCTTCGCTCGGGGGGGGGGGGGGGGGGTGGAGGGGGGCGTATAAGAGCATCAAGTCGAATTTTCGAAATTCTTCCGAATTTACGGCCCAGCAGGGCAAGTAGATCAAGTCAACGAGTATACGACGTATTGATCTAGTATGGATTTGGTCATATCTGCCTCTCTGAACATATTACCCATCCGACAATTCAAAGTTTTGCCCAGAATCGCAATTTGGCCAGACGAGCGTTTTTCGTCGAAGGATGTGATATTCGTGTTCAGGGGGTCGAAATCTCCCATGAACGAATTTCTCGCTAAAACTTTGAATTGTCGGATGGGTAATATGTTCAGAGAGGGCAGATATGACCAAATCCATACTAGATCGAGTATGTCGTATACCTGGGCCGTAAATTCGGAAGAATTTCGAAAATTAGAGTTGAAGCTCTTATACGGAGCGAAGCAAAAATTTTCGCGCCAACCGGATGCAAACCCGCATGCGTTTGACTTGAAAGCGAGACCATTACCACGAGGCCACGGTGGCACTGCCGAGGCATCGATCAGCAGCGCTTACGAGCCAGAACTCAAACTTTGACCACCCAGATCTCGTCTGGGAGGTCCCCGTAGCACTTTTAATCTGCATATTCGTAATCAGCATTCGAGGCTCTATCGATGTACCTAGGTCTCCATTCAAAGTTCCATGGGAATTTCAAACCATTCCCTTGTAAAGCACAAGTTTTCTGTTGAAGCCCTGAAATCCTACTGACATTGCTTGAGCTCCCTCGACCTACCCTTTGAGTTGTGACAGTGTTCTTTACCGTTGTTCTTTAAAGGCACATTCCGCGATAAAATAAGGCTATGACCTCTCAAATGTGTCGGACGATCCGGAAGGCGATTTTTGAGGCTGCGCTACTTTCAAAATGTGAAAAACGGCAAGAACTCCGCTAGAAGCTGACTAATTAGGCCCATGGACACCCCTTAGGCCCATGCCGACCCTCACCGGCTGCTAGCTACTAGCTAGTAGCCACTATGTTATCTTTCTCTATAACATTTCGGACTGCTTTTTCTGCTGCTTTTCTCCGCTAATCAGATACTTAGCACTTTTTTGTGCCTATTTGAGTTCCGTTTCCCGCAATTTGCGGTCGCGAACTGTGCCTTTAAGGCCAACTTTACACGCAAACTTTACACTCACTTCCATGGGTCCTGTTCCTTGCCGTATAAGGGGAAATGGATCCGAAGCTGCAGTAGCATGCCTTTTTCTCCGCTCAAAGTGCACGTGAATCGGTGTTGAGGATAGTAATGTCCAGTTGCCGACTCTGAACTCCGCGCTGGGCTCATAGCCATAGCCAATCGCGCTAATTGTCCCCGCCCTCTCACTTGTGGTTGTTCTCTCACGCTGAGTATGTGTTTCTGCGAAACCTTGGTATCGACGCAAGTGCCGAACATTGATGATAGCGCCAGCGGAATATAGAGTCCGTTGTCCGGGGTATCACTATCTTCCAACCCCGTTCCCGTGCGCTTTTGTGTGGAGAAAGTGGCTCGCTGCTGAAATTGCGGACCCATTCGCTTCGCTGATGGTAGGGATCGTCCTCGGAGGTGATCTTTGATCTTTTGCGGTCTCCATTCAGGATGTTATTCACTAGTCGCTTGCACGTGCTGTTCCCTCCCTTTTTTATCAAATTGTAGTGGTCCTTTTAGGGCTTTTGATATCTTTTTTGCGCGTTCATAGTCCTCTTATTACCAGTACCATGATTTGCTCAGGCAGTGCACCTGGAATGTTTAAATACTTTATTTTTCTAGGCTTTGTTACAATGGGTATTACAATGCTCTGCTTCCGAGCACGATTCTCACACCTTGGTACGGGCCAAATGGATTGAGCGAAATAGATTTAGGTAGCGTATACTTCGAATCTTCCTTCTTTGAAACACGTGTTTTCTCTCTTTTTTAGGCATCGATGCATTATCATTAACCAAAAAGACAACTACTGCAATGAGTCGCCCTCACAGCACTCCACCGAAGCAACAGAGCACTAACCTCATTGGTTCGTAAACGGAACCATAAACTACGGCTAGTTACGTAAATCACCACTAGTTTTTCAGATTTGGATGATGACTTACTCCCGTCTGGTGGTGGTCAAACGCTGATGTGTACCCTTACACCGTTGGCTCCAACACCAGTCGGTGCAGCTGCTTCAATGTCATCACTAGAACCGGAGCCACCGTCTATAGACTGGGGTCTGCCGAGCAGTACGCAACCTACCATTCGTGCTCCATCATTACCAAATCTTACATCACAGAATTCTCCTGCGTTCCCCGTGACATTTGAGGAGGAGTCATCCGGTAACAAACATCCCCACCCCCTTTGAAATGATGTCTTTGCATTTGATTACCCACTTTTTCAGCGAATAATGGCGCACTTCATCATCTTCCACCAGCACCGGCAAGACTGAGCGCTGCTGCTGCTCAACCACAGTCGAGCAGCGCACGGGACCCATTCACTGTGATGTGGGAACAGATCAAAAACGTACCTCTCAGCAACATTACTCAGAGGTACGTGACCGCAATCATAGCATCTTGATACTCTGATTGGTCCGAACAGACTTCACTTGTTGTTTTCCGGGTGACGGAAGAACAATAACCTGCCGGCTTGGATTCCAACCTGCCATTCCTCAAAAGTGGGCGGAGCCTCCCCTAATTGGCGGAGCCATCTTTCACAGCTCGAAAACACGGAAAGAAAGGAAGAGAAAAGACCATTTCCACAAAAAGACGCAAAAGTGGGCGTGTTCAGAGG